CCTTCACGTGCTAAAGATTTCCTCTTCATTTCAGGAACCAAGGTGATCTAGAATCGATTATTATCTGAATACATATTTGATGCTTACTTTCAACTTAGAATTTGGAAATGACTTTGAAAAGTCTTTAAAATCTTCAATCATCTTTTCCTAATCTTCTGCAGATGCGGACTTATGCAAGAACTGGGGAGAATCCTCCAAACGGTTTTATGTGCCCTCAGGGATGGAAAGTCCTGGTCAAGTATTACGAGAGCTTACAAGCAGAAGAAAGCGCCCAGAAGTCTGCTGTACTATCCGCTTAGCCACGGTAATATATGGTAGTTCCGCGTTAATTTGTGCAGAAGTATGCAAATCAAGAAGTCAGCAGAGAAGAACATGAGAGATGTTTCAATTGCTTGTCTCAGCTTTCTAGCGTGAAGATTGATCTCCTATTATCTATACATTCTGTTCTTGTAATATCTATTCATTTGCGTGATGATGATGAATAATGATGCACAAGAACTGATCTTTCTCCCCAAATAATATAGTTCCTTAGTTCATAAGCTCCGATTTTCATAAGAATATTCTTTGGGTATACTTTCTTCCGTGGCTTCATTTCTTAACTTGTGATAGCATCAACTAATTCACAGCGTAACCAGTGAATATGAAAGGAGTAACACGATTCGTACATCCTTAAATGCCACTGTCTGAATCTTAGATTTACACAGCTGTATTGTAGGTAGATTGGTGTGATGAATGCAAAATGCATGAGAATGTGACTGAGAATTTATTAGGAGGCAATCTTGGATTCCTATGATCTGTCAAAGCTGCTGAATTTGAAGCAGCAATTGTTGACATTATTGTTCTCTGCAATTAATCCTCTTCATTCTCTTCTTCACAGCAAACCCTCATGATCCACCCTGGCTATGGACCCTTAGTCGACAAAACTGCTGCCTTGAGCTGCTTGCAGTGTATATTGATCACGAACACAACAGTTGTAAACCAAGCCAGATAACATCGAATTATGTAATGTAACATGTTCCTTTCTAGAGATCCCACCCCAATCCCCAACATTCTACCGTTGCTCACAACAAGACTAATTCTAAACCGTGCGACTGTTAGTGAAGTAAGAATCGTACCCTACATCCTGCAGTTCAAGAATCCAATCCCGCATTTTGTGTATGTCAGTGAAGTAAAGTTTTTTTCTCCTAATAAAAGTCAAACCTTGCAACTGACCAACAGTTAGTGAAGTAAGAATCGAACCCTACATCCTATAGCAGTCAGTAAATTAAGAAGATTCAAATTCTGTATCATCGTGAAGTAAGACTATTAAGACCTGTGGTCAAGCAGCATAACTGTGACTCTCTCAAAATGGGAGGTCACGGGCTTCGATTGGTTGAAAAAAGTAAAAAAAAATTGAAAGGATCAATCGGTTAACCTATGTCTAATGATACTTTCCAATCTACTATGTTTGTCAGCAATGATGCATCTGAGTGATGAGAAAGATGGTCGGGAACGTCCGTAGAGTCCTTCCGGATTCCAAGGGGATGAGCTGTCATGGCCTCATGGGGGCCATTTTGCCCATCTCTCTCACTCCTTAATTCTCTTCGTTTCAAATCTTCAAACCCCTTTTAAGCACTGTCATACTCTTCTTCCATGAAACCTCTGGTAGTTACAAGTTTAATCTCACTACCTACCTAGTAGTCATTATAACGTTCACTCCACCTATGATCCCATTCGTTTGTCACACGTTTGTTTCCATTCCGTTATGTAACTTAACTTGATGATCCCAAGGTTTTAAATTTAACTCTTCATGCAAGTTGTTTATTGGTCTTTTTAGTTTGAATTGATCAATTATGAATAACTTAGACTGATTTTTTATTTATTTTTAGTTCTTAACTAGTTAAAATTATTAGAGGGGTTTCACTCAGAATGTAACTGCAACAAGAGAGTGTTAGTTTTATTTGGTTACTGTTTTCTAGGCTACCAACGTACCGTACGTAAAGAAGAGGAAGGAAGGAGGAGTGACAAAAGCAGGTGGTGATATGTTGTCTTTACAGAGAAGTTGTAATCTATAGAGACTTAGAAGGCAAGGGTTTTGGGTTTTGGGTTGTCATGTTGTCAAGTTGGGGATTAGGCTACGCAAAATAGGCATATTGCTTGCTGTCTTTCGGCGAGAGGGGTGGGTCCTGCCCGGCAATTTCCCCCCTGCGTTTTCATCGCCCCATTACTCAACCAATCCCAATCACAGAACATGGATGGCTTTCAGAACTGAAACCATCCCATGGCCCAGTCTCCATCCACTCCGTCATCATTGCAATATTATCCTCATTGGCGAGTTTTAAATCTTGGTCTATTATCTAAAATACTGTCTATTAAATCAGTAAGTTAAGTTCGTGCGAGCATATAAAATGTTCGATTCCGGCTAAGAAGAGTTATGAAATTGGTCATATTTTGGGTTGAAGAACTCATTAAGACACATTCCATAATTAATTGGCCCTCTTAGGGCATGGAAAAACATGTGGTTGTAACACATTTCGACAACTATCGGCAAAGCTAGTTGACTAGCATAAAAAAGTTAATAGTTTTGTTTCACTTAAAGTCACATGGTACGTGTAAGGTTCAATTATTAAGACACATTTTGTGATTGTACAGTGTGGGATGTATGAAATTGGCCCTAATGTGGACACTAAAACATCTGTAAGATACATTTCGTGACGGCGTGGTGGGCACTGGAAAACCTATAAACAATTAAGAAACATTACACGGTTGCATGTTGTAAATATTCAATTTTTACCAAATGAGATATAAAATTGACCTTGTTGTGTGCACCAAGAGAAACCCGTAGACTGTTGAAATGCATTTCACAATTTATTTCATCTATAAAGATTTCAGAAAAAAAGATGTGATTCTTTAGATTGAGGTACAACCATATCCCTCCCTTCAAGTCTTGCCTCATTAATTAGACTCTAATGAGCCTCATTAATTAGACTTATTTAAGGATCCGACTCGACTAATGACACATGAGATGTCTGTCCAACCACTAATAAACACCTTCTAATCCATGCTTAAACCCACATCTTATTACTCGATCTAGTACTGTGATTTAACAAATTAAAGAAGCGAGACAAACAGAAAGTGAATGAGGGGAGAGGACAACGGCCGGACATCATGCACGGCATCGAAACCACGAGGGCCTGGTACGATTAATTTCCTGGGCAGTACGTACGACGTGTTTGGTTTTGTAACATTATAATTTATTTTGTGGGGAGGGAGTCTGGTGCCATAAATGATTTTCTGAGCCTCGTAACATGGGCTGTACCTTCGAACTATTTCTATATTCATCAGGGGTAGCTCAGTCTGGTTGGTTGAAGATACATGTTGACACCTACGGACCCGTGGTCCCTCTTCACTGTTAGTATTTGTTCAAAGAATCAACTTTTTTATATCCCATCTTAGCTTGATTGTGACCCATAGCTTCCCCCTTCTTGATGGACTTGAATTTGATATTATCACCACACCTTTACCAAACATTCATCAGTGTCCCGTCGGGATATCGTATTTTAACTGGTCGATCAATCAACGTTTAGTTTTACTTTCAGCGATAAAGTGAAGGATCCTGCCAAAGTTCACGAGATTCAGGATATAGTTTGATGAAATTGAGAACAGTTTTGTACCTATAATACAAGTTGAATTTGAATTAGTTTTAATTACAATTTTAGAAAAGGGGGTCAACGATGAGATTTTCCATGCACAGCAACATTAAAGTTGAGGTGTTATGAATTTTCACATGCACGTGAAGTTCTAATATCTCCCCGACCATAGAATTGAATCACAAGTCTAAGTACTATACATTGATTCAATAAATTATACGTACAAAAGTAAAAGAAGATGATGACTTAGGAAGACAGATGTTTGAATTTTAAAGGGTTTCTGCAGAAAATTTCCGTGGTTGAAATTTATGGTTATTGAGGGGATAATTAAAATAATCAGAATATATATTAGATACTTAGATAGTGAGTTATTCTGAACCTAATCCGTAGCATTTACTTACTCGTTGCGATAGTAGAGTACTTGAAATCAGTTAAGATCAACTAAATCTATCTATAGTTATATATCACGTCAAATCAATGGAGAAAATGATCGAAATGGGAAACTGACGACATCAAATCATACATGTGAACGGGCAATAGATGCCCAAGGATATGATATTTCTGCTGTTCTTTAGTTTCAAGAAATTAAATAGATCCAGCAGTGGAGTTGCCCACATGGGCTTAGCTCACTAATTTAGTAGACAGTATTTGGAAAAAGAGAATCTTGACAGCGACAGTCAGAAGCAGTACGGAGATTATGTTCAAAGTAGCTGATTCCTTGTGCGTACAGCCATGTCTGCTGAATGATTGAGTCACCATAATTTACATTTTCCTAAATACTCTGTCAGGTTGGGATGTGGGGCCTTTGGGTTGGGGATTCAACCAATTCGATTGGAGTATATTACCGTGTATAGTACACAATAGGAAAACAAAGTAAATTGTGAGGAAGGTTCTCACCAGAAAGATACATTTTTTTTTATTATAGTTTTTTCGACGAAAACAGAGTTAATAAAATGGTCCACGTTGTCTTGATAAGAGCCAACAATGGGTAATTACCACACCAATGCCATTGGTTCCCATGATGTCTTTTAGCTTACTTCTCCACACCTATACAAAACACCCCTACCCTCTTCATTCTTTGCCCCCACATGGCTCTGCTTCTTTTCTTCATTTATTTTCATTTCTATTTTTCACACTTATTACAAATTATATTATTTAAAAAAAATTAATAATGCACTTGTAAAGTTAAAAGGCAAAAACTTTTTGGATTAGATTTTTAAACGGTACGAAAATTCTTAACTCTTGTGAAGTATCGAATGACGTATGAAAAGAAAGTTAATAGAGAATTGAAGTAATATCTTTTAGGTTTTTTAACCAGGTGAATGTATGTAATGCCTGTATATATATACCCCTCACTCCGGCCTTTTCATTTCCACCATGCCTGTCTAAACCATATCTACTCTCTTCTTCTCAACAGAGAAAAAAGGGTATCTTTCTTTTAGCCAAAAACAAAAGTTGATCCCCAAAAATGGCCATTAGAAGATCAAACAAACTGTCGCAGACAGCAGTGATCAAGCAGATCGTGAAGAAATGCTCCGGCTTAGGCGGGAAGAAGCAACATGGGTACGACGAACACGGCGGCCTCCCCGTCGACGTGCCGAAGGGACATTTCGTGGTCTACGTCGGAGAGAACCGAAGTAGGTACATTGTTCCCATCTCGTTCCTGACGAGGCCGGAGTTTCAGAGCCTTCTCCGCCGCGCCGAGGAAGAGTTCGGCTTCGATCACGACATGGGACTCACCATTCCCTGCGACGAAGATTTCTTCGAATCTCTAACGTCAATGCTTAGGTAAAACCTCACAGAAAAGAGAGAAATCTTGAGCGGTTTATTAGTTTTTGGGGATTTTTTTTTTTTTTTTTTTGGGTTTTTATTTTTAACTATAACTGGAAATTAGGTATGGAGTTAAGCCTTAAGGGGCTTCATTTTCTTGTTTTCTTTTTGTCCGGAAAATAAATTCTTATACTCCGTAAGGTGTAAAGTTTGTATGTAATTTTCCTTACAGTGGTGTTTGATCATATCTTTGTACCCTGTGAGAGATCCTATATTAATCATTATATTAATTAAATTAAGGGTAAATTAATACCCTTTTTCTATTTATTTGTTGGTGTTTAATTTTCTCGTTATGTTATTTTTTACATTAACACAAATTTTACTTGATGCACACTAAGTGAATAAAACATTATTCTTGTACCAAAATTAAAATGCTGCCGATTAAGTTGGGTTGTATGAAAAGAAGCACATCAAACATGAATCCGATTTACTTTTGTCTCGAAAGGAGTGACTAAGTGGATAAAACTTAATTCTCGTACCAAAATTAAAAATCGATCCTTATCCAGACGAATGATAAAAACTGAATAATTTCAAGAATTGGAGATTAATATGACTTCGATGACACACAATACGTATTTTACTAGATAAGACTCGGACTGTATTTAAATCCTTATCTTCCTAACCTCACATTTAGGTTACATATCATCAATACGTATTTTACTATATAAGACTCGAACTATCTTTAAATCCTTTATCTTCCTAACCTCACATCCACATTCTCTCATTAATGCTGCGGATATATATATGCAGAGACCGCAGCGGTCCCCTGCATGAACTACGTTTCAGGGGCGACTGATCCACGGTTCATAAGTGAGGCCAGGCATCTTCAATCCACTGTACAACTACTCTTTCACATTAACTCTTGAAATTAAAGCTATGGAGTGACACAGTTAATTAAAGGACACTATATATATATATTCTAAAACTACCATTTACCCTTTTAACTCGTAGGGGTAAAAACAATAGGTTAACCACTTGCCCAATTTAAAAGAGGGGAAAAGTATCAAATTGACCATCTAAGTCATTCGAATAGTGTAATTAGGTTCCCTAAGCACATCTCAGAAAGGGAATTTTGGAACAGTAAAATGCATTTTCACAAATGGGAGGGTTTGAGTTTTTTTAGGGGATTTTATTACTGCAAATTGGGGTTCAAAGTGATCCCACTTGCAGAGATAAAAGAAAGCAAAAGAAGTTCTGGGCGCGTGAATAGACTTTTTTTTTTTTTTTCATCCCTTTTTCTCTTCCTTCTACCCTCTCTCTCCTACGTGGCTATGACAAAATTTCTTAAAAATACCCCACTATTCAGGTTGCCCTAAGTAAAAAAAAAAGCTCCATTTAAATTCCCTAAACCTGTAAAAAAGTTCAATTCAGTCCAAATCAACTTGTATAACAGGTTAATTCATCCACAGCTTGACATGTGTTACTTTTAATTTTTTTTTTATTTTTTATTTATTCAATTATTAAAAAAAATAAAAAGAATTTCAACCACCGGCTGTCCAGCAAGGACAGCCGGTGGCTGCGTATTTCACAGACAGCTGTGGCTGTCCAGCGAGAAGCCGGACAGCCATGGTTGTCAAACATGAGGTCCAGATCTGGACCTCATGTTGGACAGTCGTGGCTGTCCGGCTGTCCTCGTCGGACGGACAGCCGGACAACCACGACTGTGTGTGATATACGCAGTCACTGGTTATCCTCGCTGGACAGCTGGTGACTGAATTTTTTTTTTAATTTTTTTTAATAATTGAATAAATAAATAAAAAGTTTTTTAAAAAATAAAAATTAAAAAAATATTTTAAAAGTGACACATGTCAAGCTGTAGATGAATTAACCTTCTATACTGGTTGATTTGGATTCAATTAAACTTTTTTACAAGTTTAGGGAATTTGAATGGAGCTTTTTTTTTTTAATTTTTATTTAGGGGACGTAATTGCACTATCCGAATGAATTAGGGTGTAAATTTAACACTTTTTCTGTAAAAGAGTTAATAAATAATTTTGCTTTCGTTAGCATATGCAAGGTGTAGAGTTTAAGGTTTGACAATAGTGAGTATCCTCTGACATTTACATGGTGTTTAGTTGTGTATGGAGAGAATTATGAAGAAAAAATTGAAATTTCGTGGGAAAAAAATAAGGTGAAAATCTAAAACATGAATATATATATATATATATATATATATATATATATATATAATTAAAAAGAAGCGAATAAAAGTAAAACTGTCATTGTATAATAATAATAATAATAATAATAATTCACACAATTCCAGAAACTATAGAATTACAATTCTCATTGACATTAGGAATTGAAATTCCTTCCAACCAAATCAATTATAATTCCATGCAATTTGATAAAAATGTAATTACAATCAAATCCCACCAAACACCCCTTAAATGTAATCCTTGACATAAATTTTATTTTCAAGACATTGGCCCAACACTTATCCGTACTGACCGAACACACTTCAAGAATTTTGTATGAAAGTTGTCGATGCTATTTATTAGTATCCCAAGTTAGGCACATATAATTAAATTTCATATCACCCCTTTAGTAGGAAGCTTGGTTTGTTGTGTTTAATTCACTTACAACTCAATCAACATTTAAAAACCACACTTCAATGTCCGCATGGACAGCTCAGTTGATTATAGAAGTAAAATTTGAAAAGAATAACCAGTATCGAATTTTACCAGCGTCAATGTAAGAACAACCTCTCAAAGTGATAAAATGAGAAAATTCTTTATACTCAATAAACAAAAGTCTAACATCTGTGTTCAGCTGAGTTATCTATAATTTGTATAGAGTGGCTGAACTTAACCGTTAAAGCCTCAACTTAACACATGTTATGTACTTATGTCCCATCTAGGAACAAAGATGATAAATACGGATAAATCTAGGTAAAGTGTTATAACGTACGGACATATCCATTCTATAACGAACTACTGTTGGTTCAAAGCCATTTCAGTTCTAAGAGTACAATTATTATTCCTGGGAGTATCACCCAACAGATCGAACATGGATGGCCTTCAAAACCGAAGCCATTTCATGGCACAGTCTCGATCTACTTCACCATTACAATATTACTCACACTTTTCTCTCTCTGTCTCATCAAAGTCTTGCCATTATCCTTTAACGTATGTACAATGTTAATGAACCTTTGATTCAATTTAAGAAGTTGACTGTTTTCAAAAAAAAAAAAATAAGAAGTTGACTAATTAAACTCGACTAATAATGATATAACATTGATCGTACAAACGATGTCTGTTCAACCACTAAACATTTATAACCTATGATTATACTTAGAGTAAATACCCAAAATGGTCCCTCGACTATAGCTAAATTCATAAATTGGTCCTTGACTTTCAATTTCAACCAATTAAGTCCTTAACTTTGCAATTTTGACACAATTTGGTCCTCCATCTATTTGACCGCTTGTTGACCGCGATCTTTGAGGATATATATGTAGTTTCACGTGCAAAGCTCAAGACAACGCTCTTGGAGGGACATCGTTGTTTCGGAGGGGGAAGTGCTTCTCCGCTTGCTGCTTGGGGATCACGAGCCGGTTCAGCTTAGAGAGCGCTATTGGAGGTGACAGCGCCGTTTCGGGAGGGGAAGTGCTTCTCCGCTTGCTGCTTGGGGATCCCGAGCTGGTTCAGCATGACTACATCGCTTGGAGTCACGACTTTCTCGAAGAGCCACTCCAGGGACTTCGGCGATCTATCTATCAAAAGCTATAATCTCTCCGGCATGGGGTGCAGCGCCGACAGTGGATTCAAATGTAACAGTGCGGTCTAGAAATGCAACCGGAACCTTAAAAAACCGACGATGGACCATGAAATTACATATATATCCTAAAAAAGCGCAGTCAACAAACGGTCAAATAGACAAAGGACCAAATTGTGTTAAAATTGCAAAGTTAAGGACTTAATTGGTTGAAATTAAAAGTCAAAGACCAATTTGTGAATTTAGCTATAGTCGAGGGACCATTTTAGGTATTTACTCATTATACTTATATCACTCACTTACAAGGAATCCCATACAAACCAGATTGGTTGGCGTGTGTGGCCGTGCACTCTCATACCTTAAGAGATGTCGGGAGTTCAAACCCCTTGTCGTATGAAAAAACCAATCTGACAAGCACTTTGCCCCTTAAGGTGTCTCCACCTTACCAGCTAACATACGTACCCTAATGATCATACATATAACTAATGGACTAAGTTATTACTATACATAGGTATGACCGGAGGATCAAATATACAATTTTAAATTCCCTATAACAAACAATGAACTTAAGAAAGGCAATCAAGTGGAGTGTTAGTAGGTATAGTTAGGAAATGAGTTTGAAAAGAGGGCATGTAGATGAGAGATCGGGCGGACATGATCCACGGCCGGTATCACATCAAAACAATATCGAGGGTACAAGTGTACAACGCTGTACCCTTAAGTTGTCGTTGTAACTCATTATATATAATTATATATATGTATATATTGTGCAGTACAGTACAGAGCGTGAATTGAATGACTAATGCATGCATGCCTGCTTTCATGTTTTTCTTAGGCTCAGAACATGGGTTGTACCTTTGCACTATTCCATATATACATATATTGCTCAGATCACGCCGGACCGGGGTTGTTTAGTCTGGTTGGTATGTGTATTGACACCTGTGGACCTGTACCTTCTTCATCCTCTTCGATCAGTCTTCTCTGCTAGTACTAACAGAATCAAATGTGTATCCAGTCTAGATTTTGACTCCCAGCTACCACTTCTTGTTGGGGCAGAATCGGACCTTACTGACTATTTGTGCTTCAATAGGTTACGTTTATAAAGTAGTAATGAACATATACCGTATTGTAACAGAGTTAATACTACAAAAGAAAATGGTTATCTGACTTAATTGAGTGTAAATTTTTCTAGTTAGCCTAAAAAATAGGGTTTGTACGGTATACTAAATGTTACCATTTTTTCCTCTTGCATGTTTCAATAATTATGTAAAAACTAATTACAGTGGACAATAATAGTGAAGCAATGATGTAAATTGTGAGGAAGGTTCTCCACTGAAGCAAGACACAGAAAGATACAAAAACTTCCATGTTTTTCGTGGAAAACAGAGTTAATTTTGAAGGGTCCCACGATGTCGTGCTAAGAAACAGCAATGGGCAAGAAACACCACAATCTTATTGGCTCCCAAAATGTCTTTTAGCTTACTTCTCTCCACATGGCTTTCCTTCTTTTCTTCACATTTTTTTTTCTCTTTTTAGTTTTCTACCAACTCAAACTACTCCTCAGAAAAATATATATATATATATATATAGACCACCCTTCACTCTTTCAGTTCCAACACACCTTTCAAACACACCAAATCATCATCTTCGCAAGAAACTGAAGCTCGGAAACCTAACAATGGCGATCGGAAAATCAAACAAGCTGTCGCAGGCGGCGATGATCAAGCAGATGATTAAGAGATGTTCCAGCATAGGGAAAAGGCTGCAACACGGGTACGACGATGTCCCGAAGGGGCATTTCGTGGTTTACGTCGGAGACAACAGAAGCCGGTACATCGTTCCGATCACGTTCTTGACGAGGCCGGAGTTTCAGCGCCTCCTGCAACGCGCCGAGGAAGAGTTCGGGTTCGACCACGACATGGGACTCACCATTCCCTGCGACGAACATTTCTTCCAATCGCTAATGTCAATGCTTAGGTAAAACGATACGATGAAGTTTAATAATGAAGAATAAGATCGAGAGATGTTGGTCGGCCGGTCGGTCCAGGGAAGGGCTTCTTAATTAGCTTATTATTGTGCTTGTTTGAAGCCTAGATAGCATATAGCTAGCTAGCTAGCTCCCATTTAAGGAATTAGTTTATTGTGAATTCAGTGATAAACCTCTGGGGTTCTATGATGTTTATCAGACAATAATTGTTAAAAGTTGTAAAGTTTGTATGTAGTTTGCTCACGGTGGTGTTTGATCATACCTTTGTACCCTGTGAGGGAACTTATATTAATTAATTAAGGATTCTAAGGGTAATTAGTTAAATTAATACCCTTTCCTATATATTAATATTGTACTTGTGTTTCTCTTAAGTGAAAAGTGTTAGTTTTATTGGGATTAACTTATAATAACTTAAACAAAATGCAAACGGGTGATAAATATTCTCATTAATTATGTTTGGAATATAATAGTTCATGTACATTATAAGAGAGTGGGAAGATTTGTATTATAAACTATTCAACTATAACGGTTAGTTTGACTAACAGTTACTTTGACCGACATTATTTAATTTTAAAGGCTAATTTAAAAATAACAACAATATAATGACTCTTCAAAAACTACTAGTTTAATCAATTAAGCTAATTAATTGTACAACAAGTCTTACAATTTGACACGTGTCTAAACTATTAGTAACAACTAAAGACTGCTGCCTTTTAGTATCATTTACGTGTCTAAACTATATATATATATATATATATATATATATATATATATATATATATATATATATGTAGGCTTCGAATCCGGTGCACCCTCTCTAATAGATGAGACCATGAGGCCTCATAATATCCATTGATTCAATTCTCATGAATGGTTGAGATTATAAGAAATTAGGGTAGTAATTAGTGACATTTACCAATGTAAAGGTTATATTAGTAATTGTAATTGTAATTTAATTATGGACATAATATTATTGGAATCTGAAGCATTATTTTAGGGATTTGTGGATGGAAATTAATAGTTTCAATTATTACAAAGCTTGAAGAAGTGAAGGTGGCGTAGACAATGCTAAAGGAGAACACTAAGCGGTGGGAGGGCAGGAACAATACTGGAGCACATTTCTCAAATGGCTAGTAGCAGTAAGTGCATTTACATGTCAACGTCTGTGCATATGCTGAAGAATGGGGTTTTTTTTCCCCGGTGGGGGTGGGGTTGTTGGATGAAGTAGTAGTCCATTGACGCGCGTAGCGTGTTCGTGTTCAGGTGGGTGCGTACATGGTTATTTGTTTGACCGATAGGATGGAGGGATGATGCGTAGACAGCAAATAGTATGTGCATAGATGAATGTGTATTTTTTTTTTTGTTGGTTGTGGGTTTTCCATGTAATAGAAAAAGCGTGGTAGAGGGTAGTCTGAGTGGTGGTAGAAAGGTGGTAGGGGTGGGTGCGTAGGGGCAGTTAAGCTTGTGCAAACTTTGAATATTAATCTGGCAACGATAACGGTGAGCTACTGTGGTAGGTGCACAGACGAAGTGTAGTATGTGCGTATCGTGAAGCAGCAATGGTAATCACATTGATTTTTTTTTTTTTTTTGGCATTTGGATTTTTACGTATGGGATATTTTTAATTGGACAAACTCAAAGTTAAGGGATGTGTGTGCGTAGAGTATGGTTTGATAAAAGTGTGAAACGAAAACGAAACGAAAAAATGTAGACGCTGGTACTCTCAATGGTTGTAGTAAGGACGTACTGGTGAATGCATGGGGGCTGTTAAGCATGTGCAAACTGGGAAATACTAATCCGTCAACGTTACAGGTGACCTCATGGGGTTGGTGCACAGACAGACATTAGTTTGTGTGTTCACGTGTGCGTCTACTAACAGCAGTTTGTGCATTCTGGGTGCCTATTTTGTTTAGTTTTCAATTAATTAGTTTAAATTAATAGTTTAATTTTACAAATCCAGTATGCATGTTTCATTATTTTTTTAGCAGTTGCTGGTACTCTGAATGGTTGTAGTAAGGACGTAATGGTGAATGCATGGGGGGCTTTTAAGCATGTGCAAACTGGGAGGGTGCGTAGGCGAACAGAAGCATGTGCATAGCGATTGCATGTAACTTAAGATATTGGAGTTGTTTTTTGGTAGTTTGTTTTGTTGGACGACCTAAATATATTGGGATGTGTGTGCGTGAGATTTGGAATTTATGAAGTGTGAAAAGGCATGATTTTGTTGATCACTACATATTATGTGAGTTTTGATGGAAGGTGCGTATAAGAAGATGAGTACGTGCATAACGTGTTGCTACGTTCAGAATTTTGTGGGTGTTTTTTTTTTAAAAAACAAAATTTGGTTGTTAAAAACTTAAAACGTTGTAATTATGCTGGGTGCGTAGTTGTATGCAGGTGAATGCATTACATGGTAAACAAGAGATGTTATTAAATATTAAAATGATGCATATGCAGCCCCGCGCACTGCTATGTGCAGGGCACCAGTCAGTGCATACCGATGTTGTTTAAAAAAGACATGTGTCGCGCGTGTGCATTAGTGAATAGAAGTTAGTACATGGTATCTGTTGTATGTGGGTTTTAATTTTTAAATTCAAGCTAGATTTCTGAAGAAACTCATGTTTGCACGACCGTGGCATTTGTGTTGCTTTAGAATTATGCTGTGTGCGTAATTGTATATAGGTAAATGCATTACAGTGAAAACAAGAGCTATTATTAAATAATAATATGGTACGTATGAATCTCTGTGCACCGCTATGTGCGCAGTAGGACATCAGCCTGTGCATATCGCGGAGGCTTATGCATGCATGTATCGGTGTGAGCATAAGAGGATCAAAGTCAGTGCATAACGCTGTTACAGTGTAGGCGTTATTCTCCTGAGAGCTAGACGAGCCATGAGAGCTATTGTTGCATTGCCTGCATTGTTCTCCTCAATGAAACTAATGGTGGAGTTTATCACCAGCAATGTAATAATCCCAACAAAGTCCTGCCAATCTGGGGGCTTTCCCTGCAAAATTGAAGATATATTCCAATGAGTCCAAACTAACAGTTTAAATAAACAACAAATTCAACTAAATTTGAACAAGAGCCTCACCCCTCCATTTGCAAGTGCGATTGCCATAATTGATGCAGCTTCCATCACCCATGAGAGAAGATTCCACATGAAGCCCAAGAATTTCAGGAATTTGCTATCTTGGGGCATAACAATTATTGCAACAGTTAAATTGACACATGGATCAATGATAAGTGGCTACTGATTTCCAGAGCAAATAAGCAATTCAAAGGGTAAATTGCATACACACACAAAAGGAAAGAGAGAAGTAAGACCATCTGATTTGGAACCAAAGACGCAGCCATAACAAACGGCAAAGATGAAAGAAATTAGTCTCCAAAAAAGAAGGTAAACTATAAAGAAACATAACTCCACAATATGAGGTGAACACTAAATCTTAAAAACCAGAGACATAAAAGCAGAAAGAATGAAACTCAGCATCAAAATTACAGTTCAAAAGATTAATAAACTATAAATGATGAGGAAAACTAAAGTATCTGAATAAACGCCGTTTGACACCTTCTTCTCCTCAAGCTTGTTGTGCCCAAAAATGGCCAACCTCTCTTGGGCTGCCTGACTAGTGAGACCCTCCTTTGTACATCTGAGATTCTCAAACACCTCCTCAATGGGTATATTTTCCTGCAGCCAACCAAACCAGAATTGCCAAAAAAATATCAAAACCAAACGGGATTAAAGCCACCCAGAGCACGAAATCGAGATAAAAAACGAAGCTTTGCAGATCCATTACCAAATCAACAGTTTCCTTCAGCACAGCAAAAAAAACGAAACCCTACCCAGAAATCGTACACCCCTCACAACCACATCCCCCGCATCACCGCCCCCCAACCCCAAACCCAACCGAATGCACGACCACCACCCCTGTGAAAACCCAAAAAAAAAAAAAAAAAAAAAAAAAACAGAACTACCCAGACGAACAAGACAACAAACGAAATCCCACCCCAAACCCCCTACTGAACACTATCAAACCCACAAACCGTCGGAAAAAACCCACGAAACAAACAACAAAAAGAGGAAAAAAAGGTACAAGAAATCGATTCAAAAAATACCTGAACTGGAGGTGGAAGATGTACCACGAAGTCGCTTGGACTGCCTCCTGCTGGAACCAACCATGAACACCGCGGGGAAAATGTGAGACGCGAATGGACAGCGACCGGATTGGGAGAAGACGGATGATTCCAGAAGTCGCGTGACAAAGCAAGGGGAGAGAGAAAACCTAAATACCTATTATGAATGCTTTAAACCCAAGATAACCGGCGAAATAAGTGAGATGTAATATTAATGACAAATACAAAATACAAAAACACCCCTACCAATCTAATACTAAGCGCCCACATGATTTAAAATGCCACATCATCAGCACCGTTAATATCTCAAAATCAATGGTCAGGGAGAGTGCTCACGGGCTCGGCTAAGTAGAGGGTGTGCACCGGATTCAAAATCTATATATGTATATATATATATATATATATATATATATATATATATATATATATATATATATGAACATGTTAATCGAATTAGCAGGTTAATATTATTATTAGTCTATCTAAGACGATCAAGGATAAAAAATTGTGGGGCATATATGTAATTATGATAGTACATTTCGAAACGCTTAAGTGCTTAACCGTACATTTGCATATAACTAATTATAGTTTACACATGTGAATGTACTATTATAAATCATGAGTACATTATCAACTAGCATTATCAAAAATATTTCTTAATGCACGTAATTATAAAAATGTTACAAATATTAAATAAATAGATAATATTCGTTTGCACGATCAACCTAATCTTTCCACACACACACACACACACACACACACACACACACACACACACACACACACACACACACACATATATATATATATATATATATATATATATATATATATGAGCTAGGTAGCTTGTATAGATCATATTATTATATGTGTATTTAGTACGTGGGATACACCCTGAGCTATCATATCATCGTCAAACATACAATACTTATGTCTTCACAAACTATATATATTCACGTCTCACGTTTTATATAAATTATGAAAAACAATGTTTTTTTTACCGACATCTACTATGCAATATAAATAATACTTTATTTATTTATTAATTCTTGTTTAATTGATATTGGTGTCCGGAGCTACCTAATTCTGTAAATATATACTCCTCCGTATATTTAAAAAAAAAAAAAGCATTTAATGCATATTTATAATGCTCATCATCATCATCACCA